AATTAACAAACCAGGATTACGAACTAACAGTAATGCCAAACTTAAACTCGATATCGCCGTGAAAGCGACTTTCTTGTCCATACTGCAAAAAACCGATGGCTTGGCTTAGTAGGAGACTTCAAAGATTCAGGAGAATATCCAGTGAGTTTTTGCACTAGTATCATGAATTCTGAGACGGTGCAATGGATCACCTTCGGAGAGAGCACATGAATGATGACCGGAATCCGGTGAGGTACTGCCGGAAACTTCTGGATGGAATCAGAATTTTGCTTAGTTTTGAGAGGTGATGGGCGACATTTGGGACGTGGTCGGCCGGGACTAGGACCATGTTTTTCTAGAGCGACAGGAGTAGGACCATGAAGTTCTCTCTCTCTAAAACAATCTGTATCTGTCCCATAAGTAGGGCTAGTAGGACCATGAAATTTTCTCTCTCTAAAACACAATGTGTCTGTCCCATAAGTAGGCCTAGAAACATGAAGCTCTCTCTCTCTAAAACCATTTCCAGGGCCAAATTCTTGACAGCACATGGTGTTGAATCGTTGAGGTAGTTTGGACTTTTACGGTAGAAAAAAAAGCATGCAAGGGTTCACTCTATTATATAGGGATTCAGTTTAGATGAAGAGATAATTACCACTAATACAAAATTTACAGTACAAGAGATAAAGATAGTTTCCCTCTCTCAACAAAATCTGATAATACTTGTCAAAAAAGATATAAAGATAGATAATTATCTGGCATATTTACCAAAAAGAAAGAGAGGAAAAAGGAAAAAGAACTTTACTCTCAGTAAGGGAGTTTAAGGTTTAATTAGATAATAAAAATAAAGAGGAAAAAACATCAAAGAGGCTTTTTAAGGGGCTTTAAGTCCTAATATTCCCAACTGGGTCACATAAAAAAATTAAGAGAGTGAGAGAAAGAGATAGGAAGGGAGACATCTGTTTTTTAATTAGGAATTCTACATTTAATAATTGCATTTTAGCCATCCAACAAGAGAACAAGACATATATTAATTAAGACGAATGAATAATAATTATGATTTTTTTTCCAAAGCTAATTGAACAGGACTTTCATTTGCAATGAAAATCCTTTCTAACCGGATAGTGATCTTAGCCAGTTTTAGGGATTTGGATTATACGAAATATAATTAGTTTATACTATTTTATATTTGTGAGAGAAAAATTAGGGATAAGTTTAAGGTATTTCATCTTAAATTTGAATTAATTTACTTACACATTCGTGAAGCCTCTGACGAAGAAAAAGGCTATAATTATGATTTTAAATTTAAGTATAAGTAAAGTTATAAAAAAAAAGTTATGATTTTAAATTTAAGTTACGTTAATTTACTTACACGCGCGTCTCTGCTGCCTAATTAGATGGAAAAAAAGTTATGATTTTAAATTTAAGTTACGTTAATTTACTTACACGCGCGTCTCTGCTGCCTAATTAGTTGCAAAAGAAACCGATGATGATGATAAATTACGTTAATTTACTTTACACGCTCGTCTTTGCTTCCTAATTAATCGCAAAAGAAACTAATAATGATGACGATGATGATGATAATACGTATCTCCACTAAGCAGTTGGAAAGAAAAAGACTTTTGATTTCTATCATAATGATGATAGTATGTATCTAGTGTTCATAAAATCGAATCAAAATAGTTAACTGGCCATGGATCTCGAAGTGGTTTAACCGGCCTAACCGGCAAATCGGTCAATCGAACCGCTCTAGTTGGACAAGACCCGGACGGTAAAAAAAATGTTGAAAAAAATAAAAAAAATCTACTAAAATATGAAAAACATATAAAGAACGATTAAAACAAAATGTATTCAAATGAAGTTGAAAATTAATAAAAAAAATGGATTTTAAACCACTTTATATTTTTAAGGGCTATGTTTTAAATTGTTTAAAAAAGATGAGAAAATATTATTAATGATCACAACAATTTTTAATCTTTACCGTAAAGTAAAAAATATTTAAAAATACATTACAAATCAAATTTTTAATTTTTTAGCATTTATATATATTTTTTTAATTTTTTCTGAATTTTGAAACTAGTGACCGCTTGTAATTTAACTGGACCGTTAGTGGTGAGATCAGACGAGTTTGTGAACAATGATCTCTATTGATAATAATGCACATTCCTCCGACGATGACTATACGAGTCTGTAGGCTCTAATGTAGAAAATGGCAATGGTAATAATACCGTTACACTCTAACAACAATGCGGACGATAATAACCGTACGCTTTAACGTGGTACGGATAACTGTAACGATAATACCGTACGCTTTAACGTGGAAGAAACATTGACGACAGATGCTTTAAGGTGGAAAAAACTTGATGATAATGGTGATAAAGGTCGGCTGTATGTGCTTTCCCGACACTATAAAATTTATATATTTCTCCTAATCCAACCATCAATTCTGAATTTTTAATGGACGATTAAGATTATCTCAATTACAATGTCATATCTTTACATCTTTTAATTTATTTTTTATAAATTATTTTGATACCAAATTTTAGATATCCAATCCTCTATTAAACTCACACTAGCGACAAATATTTCCAATAAAATAAAATTATCAAAATACCTCTGAAAGTTTCAAGAGGTATTTTGGTCATTATATTTTATTGAAAAATTATTTTTAATATTTTTTTATAGGTGTGCCCCAATGAGAAGATGGCGCATACTAATTTCATATTTATACAATTTGTATTAAAAAAAAACTAAAAAAAAATTACTTTGAGATGTCGGATCTCGGATCTAAGATCAAACGGTGAATAGTTCTCTTGATCAAAAGTGGATGGCTGGATGGTAAGAGAAGCATAGATCTTCTATGCTATAGGGAAAGTATAGAAACTTTTTCCTAATGATAATATGCTCTAACAATAATGATGACGAATGATGCTCTAACAATAATGATGACGATAATACAGTTTGCTCTAACGTAGAGAAAAACTCTGATGATGATGATAACAGTATGCATATGTACCAATAAGCTCTAATGTGGAAAAAGCTCCAATGACGATTATGGCTCTAACAATGATGATGATAATACGCATCTTGACTGGTGGGCTCTAACATGGAAAAAGACTAACGATGATAATGATAATGTGCATTTTTACTAGTGGTTGCAAATCATAGGCACATATCTTCATCGGTTCCTATAAATGTTGCGACGAGTTTCAAGTTACTCTGAAGAGACTTAGTGTCCATAAATCATATGGGTGAATGAGATTGTCTTTGACAAAAATAAAAATAAATCATAATCACATACCCTACTCAAACTTACCATAAAATACAAGATATTATTCTTACTCTTCCCATATAAAAGGACTACAATCATATAGATTGACTACAATATGTACCTTCAAGATATTGACCTACCCTACCCATATAGAAGGACTACAATCATATAGATTGACTACAATATATAGCGTCCAAAGGCTTCAGATAAAGGCTTCAATATAATATATACCTTCTTAGGGAGGGCAGATTGACAGTTTTCTGAGGCCCTTTCAAATGTGGGTTTAGAGGCTGATATCAGATCTAGCTGTAGGTCATAGAAAAACAAAAACTTTCGGGGGCCATCTTTTAGAGATGGGTTTAGAGACGGGTATCAGATCAGGCCGTAGGTCTTAGAAAAACAAAAAATTAAAAAATACCAGTTAACAAAATAATAATAATAATACTAATAGTAATAGTAGTAGATAGTAATAGTATAGCAAGTAACAGGAGTAGTAAATAATAATAATAATAAAATCTTAATTTTTAAGGCACAAAAAATAATAATAATAATAAACTCTTAATTTCTCATCGTCTCAACGATGGGCTCGGGACGCAACAGATCAGTCAAGATTGGTAGTATCCTAGAAGCTTGATGAACTAAATTGAAGTGGGTGTCCTTCATAACCTGTGCCATGAGCCCATGTACCTGCTTGACCGTTATTTCCGAGTTTTCACGGGTTATCTTTGCAACTTGAGAATCTTCCTCTTTCTTTTGTAGTGCAGGCACAAGGAAAGAACCCATGTGTGAATGAGAAAGGTGATTCTTTGCTTGTTCTACCTTTTCCGCAAGATTTAAAATTTGGCCTGCAACATAATCCCTGTTTGTATAAAGCTTACAAAGGGAGATAAAATAGAAGGAGATGCCATCATGGGATGAGACGGAGTGGGCCTTCAATAGAAAAATAGTTGGGCCTTCACCCAAACAAAAGCCAAGCCCTAACACTGTCTCACGCTCAGCTAAAAACAAAACCCACAACTCTTATCGACAGGGTATACGGATCTAGAGAGAGAGGACCTCAGGATTGAAGGACATCCATGCTAAGACATGGAGCACGACCATGGACATATCAGACTAGCGGTTCGAATTGCGAAGAGTTGAAACACGGCTCGACAGTAGTTGCATGGACAGAGTGAGCAACAAACTCTTCTTGAAATCCACAACAATACTTCACGGACGAAGAATAAACATAGCAAAGATGAATCTCGCTCTGATACCATTGAAAATCGATGACAATACTTTACGGACGAAGAATAGACATAACGAAAATGAATCTGGCTCTGATACCATATGAAGAGTCTCAGGTTTCTCTGAAGAGACTCAGTGTCAATTAATCATAACATACGAGATTGTCTAGACAAATACAAGATGACAAAAATAGAAATAAATCATAAACACATATACTCTAACCCAGACTTACCATAAAATAAAAAGTGTTGTACCTACCCTTTCCATATAGAAAGACTACAATATATACCTTCCATATCAGCCTAGCCTAGACAATATATACTTTCTTTCACAAATGTAACTCTCAATATGGTCTCATTAGTAGACAATATATAATTTCCTTTCACAAATGTAAGTCTCAATATAGTCTCAATCCACTTCGTGAATAAAGTCTCAATCCACCTCTATTTACACACACGAATGTGATAAAAACGCTCCCAAATTTTCGAAGAACCTGCAAGTTTTCTCAAGGTGAATACAGTCTCAATAGTAAAACTTTCGATTGTAATTATACAAAGTGTGTTTAAAATCCACAAGCTTTGCCAACCCCAAATAGTTAGAAAAAAGACTGTTTAGAATCTATAAGCCCCAAAGAACAAAAACATCCATAGTATAAGAAGGCCTCAAGCCTGACACTGAAGGGAGGCCACCACACATACCTCTCTCTCTCTCTCTCTCTCTCTCTCTCTCTCTCTGTGTAACTTTCACTATTTTGTTACTTGAATCTGTTCTAAAGTGGGAATCTTACTCCAAGGCTCCTCCAGTCCAGTGTTTTGCAGGGGAGGCAAGGAGAAAACACTAACAGTTGAACTCCCACTCCTAATCTCTTTCAAGACGCGAAGAGCAGCCATGGCACTCTTCATGTATAGGCTTTCCATGTATTCTATGTCTTCTAAATCTTGTGAAGCTCTCGGCATCGATGAAACATTAGAATTTGATGAGTTGGGTTCGGTGTTTTCAGTTTGGTCACCTGAAATAGACGGATCATCAGCTGGAAAAAGACGATCGAGCATAAGCTCACATTCCTTCACGAGCTGGAAGAGGAGATCCGTAGTGAAGAATGGCTGCCTTAGAACCTTTTGAATGAAGGGTAGGCGGATCAAAGCACCGGTCCTTTTGTCATATTTCTTCAGTATCTTCACAAGGCCTGCAAACCCACAACTAAGATTAGGGAGAGAGAGATGGGGGGCAATTTCTTGAAACCCTGGTTCTTGCTTTGATGATCCAGACTCATTTAAAACAAAGGAGGCAGTGTTTTTCTTTTTAGTGCAAGTTATGATCAGTCCAAATTCTTATTCTATATTTCAAGCACTGTTTAAGAAGGCATAAGAAAAGAGGAAACATAAACAAAAGCTCATCACTTTTACTTCATAATTCAATCTCTGTTTAAGAAGCGTCAAAGAAAGCATAACAGGAGGAACGTCAACAAAAGAGAAAACATAGCTGAATGGTGGTGAAGTTTCAAAGTAAGCATAACAGGAGGAACATTAACAAAAGATAAAACATAGCTGAATGGTGGACTACCTGTGTAATTGAGAGCACTGTAATTTTCCAGAAGAACCATTTCCCCATGAAAGTTCACAATTTCCTTCTTGATTCTTATCATCTCTTCAGGAAAGACCTTGGCCCTTGCTATTGCATCCTGCAACTCCTGCATTAGTCCAACCACAAAATTAGTTATCACCAGGCTCCATCCACATTTGCTTATACAGATAATTTTATATAATGAAGAGAATGCTCAGTTCAATTTAATCCATGGTTTTTTGTGCTAATGAATCTAACATGTTTCTCAGTATTAGTCTCAGTATTAGTACAGTGGTTCCCGGTCTTTCAACCAAAATGAGCATTACAAAAGAAACTTAGCCCCCAAAAAGAACAAAACAATAATCCAGTCTCTGTTATCCATAGATTACAAAACATAAACTGAATTCATGGGGCTCCCTCTTGGCTATGTGGTTATTGCTTAAGGGCCAAAGCACCAAGATTAAGAATCTAAGGGTTGAATCCCAGCCCTAAGAGAAAGCTGGCTATTGTGGACTTAAACCCAAATATGGCTCTAGTATTTTGTTGACTCTGATCCTACTGGCTAGTCGGATCTGGTTTTCAAAACTCAAGTTTAGAGCCCAAAATTCATGGTCAGCCTTTTTTATTAGCGGTCATGGCATGAGGGCTACAACATTAGATCGCAAACCCTCGGCTGAGGATCCAACGCATGACATTTTCGACCTCTCGTATAGATAGAGAGGGCCATGTTGCCTTTTTTCGTCTTGGGCACAGCCTTTTCAGGATTCCTCATCATTCTTCACAACACTGTTATGTTCAAGGATTCATAGACTCTCTTTTTCATTTTGTTATCTCTTTCTCTCTTTTGTGTTCACTTCTCTCACTCCACCCCCTGTACTTATTCACCCCGGAGGGCATGCTTCACTAGAAGACCTCTTTCCTCCCCCTGTCTGTTGTAAATTTGGGTTTTAGCTCTCTGTTTTTGGTTTTGTTTCTGGATTTTCTGCTTCCCTACCTCTCTTTTTCTCTGAGCACCCATCTTGTGGGCTGCCTTTTACCACATCTTGTGGTCTTTGTACATTTTTTCCATTTTATTAATATAAAGTTAACCTTTCTCCAAACCAAATTAAATAGATTCCAATATAAGCTCTTGCTATGACTGTGGATTGAATGAATAAACAGATCAGATAAAATAAATCAAATCATATGCATATAAAGGAGAAAGAACGAAGAGTTGAAAGAAAGGTTTAGGAACAAAACAAAGAAATAGACGAACTAGAACCAAATGGAAAGAAAGGTTTAGGAACAAAACAAAGAAATAGACGAACTAGAACCAAATGGATTTCCATCTGACAGCTTTCTCAAAAAAAAAAAGAGAACATTAGTTCGCAGGTTTGAATCCTCGCAATAAAAGAAACATGGTTTAGTGACGATTGGACTGGAAACTGGCTCTCGATTTTTCTATCAAATCTGATCCATACTTGCTAGTTTGTTCTGGTTTTTACTACTTTGGGTTGAAAGCTAGTAGCGCTCCAAACTCCAATTTACAAGAAACCTTCATATGTGTCTCCATACAGATGTATCTCAAATATGTCTCATGACTGAAAGTCTGATTTGACGGCTAGGAGTGAGCAGATAACACTTTCACAAACTAGTGGTCAAGTGTTCTAGTCAAGTTGTAACCGATGTACGAATTTTTCTCATCTCACTTGCAGCCATCTTATTCAAGAGTGGTTGGTCCCAATCCCAGACACAAGTTATATCGGTATGACGACATATAGGAACCATGCCTTTTATTTTTTATTATGCTATTGATTCATACTCCAATTTATGAATCAATAGTACAATAAAGAATAAAAGGCACGACCCCTAATTGAGCGAATCAGGATTCATGTAGCCGACTCCAATTAGTTGGGAAAAAGCGACCCCAAATAGTTGGGAAAGAGTTTTGACAATGATGATGATTCATACTTCAATTTAGTGCCTAAAAAGTACAATGGACTCTCCATTTCACCAAGCTTTTCCATTTAGTCCGCGAAAGACCAATGACCCCTAAGTAGAAGGACCTCGGATTCCGTATCTTGTATCTTGTAGCATTCGGTTGATTAAATGTTAAGTTTCCATTCTCCTAGTTCAGTTAATTGATAAAAAACTTGATTTGTGAGTTTTTAACATAATACTCCTATGGAATATACCATGTCTTTTGATGATTAATCCTTTCTAAAGTGTGAGGACTCAAAGATCCCCAAAATCAAAGTCCTTTGACCTTTACCTCTGAGGATATAAAAATGGGGTTCTTCTAAATTTCCCAGAATCAAAGTCTTTTGATGATTAAGGACTTCTTAAGTTTGACTTCTTAAGCTTGAGGATATCAAATTTGGGTTCTTCAAAATTTCCCAAATTTATGTGAATTGAACCAAAGAGAGAAGAAAATTCTCAATGACTCCATGTTAAGTGAATCCCAACCACAAAAAACACCCCCAATTCTGTTTCCAAAGCTAGGTAGAGGGAGGAACTCACCAATGCTTTTGCCCCATCGAAAGATCTTCTTCCCTTTGACCTTTCAAAGGGAACAAGAAAACAGAGCCCAAAAGGCCTCAACTCCTAATATACAAAACAAAAGACTAGAGAGGGAGCTATTCATCAAGAAAAAATTAAACATATGCTATTAGGATACATCAAATTTATTCATAAAGCAAAGTTCAACAGAAACTTGCCAAAAGAAGTAATAGCTACACATAAATATTAAAAAAATGCTAAGAAAGAGTCAATGGAGAGAGAAAGCGAGAGAATATCTCTGATGATGTGTTTTAGAGAGAGAGAGAGAGAGAGAGAGAGAGAGAGAAATTGTCTGATGATGTGTTTTAGTAGCAGAGCAATTGTCTGATGATGTGTTCTAGAGAGAGAGAGAGCATTTGCATGATGATGTATGAGAGAGAGTTCATCTGATGATGCATTCTAGAGAGAGAGGGAAAGGGGGGAGAACCTTTTGCCTGATGATGTATTCTTCCTCTTTCTCAACAAAGAAGGCATTGAATTTCTCGAGCTCATCTTCCAATAATCGAATGAAGTCCTCCTCTTCCTTGGTCATAGACGCAGTGACACCCTCCTTCTCATCGTTACTACTGTATTTAACACGCTTATTTTTGCAGTTTTCATCTCCATTTCCATTACTGTTGGCCTTTGGCTCGATCAATTTGAGCTTCTTCTTCAATTCCTTATAAGAGAGGAACTTGTCCCTCCATTCTGGTAAAGTCTCCTCGATCTGATTGCTCAAGCTCTTCCCAAACTTCATCGTTGCAAGAGAGGGAGGATTTGTACAAGACGGAGAATTATGCCCTTTCAGGAAGAACTTCAGAGTGAGAGAGTGGGGAGAGAGAGATCGGCCCCTTGAGGAATTTGAAGAGCGAGAGAGAAAAGCCCTTCTCGGAGGAATTTGAGAGAGAGACTAGCCCTAGGATCCGAGAAAACTCGCCGGAATCAAAGAAATCTTCACCACAAATTCGCTGTAAAGTGGCCAGAATTTTGGCACAAACTCGCCGGAACACAACTTACGCTCCAGAAATTCGAGGGAAATTGGAATCAAGTAAAGCTGGAACCAAGGAAACTCGCCGGAAACCAACGTATGATGGCCAGAAAATCGCCGGAAACGGACGTATGATGGCCAGAAACTCGCCTGAGAATTGGTACCTGTAAATCCTACAAAAAAAATGCAACCCCAAAATGTCCAACACAAATTCGCCGTAATTCAGCGCAAATTCGCTCAAATGTCGATGAAATCTCCCCACGTGCCTGAAAGTCGCCGGGATTTTGGTCTACCGCCGGAACGCAAGTGAAATTTTGCCGGAATCTGACGCAATAAGATAACGAAAACGAAGGGATAGCAATGAAATCGAAGGAAGAGAAATGAAGGGGAATTTTATACCTGTTGGAATATGCGAATACGGTAAAAAGAATATCCATATTTAAGGGGCCTAGAGAGAGAGTGTTGAGAAAAGGTGTGCGGCTCGAACGAGATAAAATAGAGAGAGAGAGAGAAAGTCCTAGAGAGAGAAAAAGGAATATCTCATAGTTTTAGAGAGAGAAAGTCCTAGTGAGAGAAAAAGGAATATCTCATAGTTTAAGAGAGAGAAAGTCCTAGAGAGAGAAAAAGGAATCTCTCATAGTTTTAGAGAGAGAAAGTTTATAGAGGGAGATTGCTTAAGCAAGATAAGATTAGACAGAGAAAACAGAATATCTTATTATTCTGAGAGAGGAAAGGGTATATCTCATGGTTTTATTCTCTGTACCTCTTGATCAATTATCCATTGACACGTGGCAAACTTTTTTTTTTTTTCCAAATTTTATTCTGTTTCACGCATTTAGCACGGTTGGTATAATTCTAGAGACCAAGAATATGCCGTTGCTTTTTCTAATCCAATGAAAAATATACATTAAAAAAAAAGAGTTTTTAAGACAAAACAACTAAAAAATTAGTTGGATAGGGCTGCAGCTCAATCACAATAAGCAAAATACTCATCTTATAACTCATTGAAAATCACAAGTCAAGCATTGAAAAACTTTTATATCGATTATCTCGACTTGAATATTACCGTTAGGGAAAAGAAAAAGGATTTCATCTTTTAAAAATAGTATATATTGTAACAAATTATCTAAACCGTTCATTTTGTTTTAAAAATAAGTGTTTGATAGATCTGCAAGATCTATACTTTTTTTTAGTTTCAAATTTCTTAAAAATTGATTTTAGAGCGATTATAGAGATTTCCATTGATGAAAGTACTTTTCGAATAAAGATTTGCGGTGAGGCTTTATTTTGATTTCATAAGGCCTAGGCCTTATAGAAACCTCATCCAAACATGAAAGGTTTTAGATTTTGGAATGGGATATCTTTGTCATGGAAGTTATGTTTCAACAATCGACCCGACAGTCTCTCTTCATATACTGCTTTTTTGTTTGAATGTATGGGAGTTGGAGGGACAATTCCGGGTTGTTGCCGGATTGGGTTTCCGCCTAAACTTACTTTGAGCCACTAGATATTTAATTGGAAAAATTACAAAAACCTCTTAAATATACTATTTATGCAACTTATTCTCCAGCAAATTTTTTCTTTCATTTTTTTTCGACAACCACATTTCTTCGCAAATACCCTTCCCCCCAATCCCAAAAAAAAGAAAAAGAGACTAAACTACCCCCGCTCTCTCCTCATGGCTTTTACCCATGACTCTCTCCTCGTGCGTTTTAAATGCTCCGATGATCCATTTAAATACGCTGGCAATGAGGACAATGCGCTCCGACCATACAAAGACTCGCCCCGACAGTACACCTTCTGGAGCCAAAGCACTTGTTACATAGGTCGCTACGGCAATGAGGATACGCGCTACAGCAATGCAAGGACTCGCTCCGGGAGTACACCTTATGGAGCCACAACTCTCCGGTGGTTGAATAGGTCGCTCCGGTAATAAAGACAAGTGTTCCTGCAGTACAAAGATACACTTCGGTAGTACACTTTCTGAGTCCACATCGCTTCGGCGGTTGAATTGGTCGCTCCTGCAATACGCTACTTGGGACCGCCAATGGACTTCTTTTTTTTGTACGGAAATGATATTTTCGTCCAAAAAATAACAAATTTTTACCTTGGGGGGTTTCTGCGCGAAAAGATGGTTGTGGGGAAAAAAGTAAGAGGAAAAGTTAGCTGGGGGTAAGTTGTACATATAGTATATTTGGGGGGTTTGTAATTTTCCCTATTTAATTTTGGGAGAGGCTAAGATAAGGTTAAAAATTCACTTAGTCGAGTCGAGGCTAAGGTTATGGAATAACTCACTAAGTCAAAATCGAATAAACTCTTTATATTTTATTTAAACATGGGTGTGGTTTGCATAAAGCCAAGGCCCTAAATAATCAAAGTAAGACGCACATTCAAATAGTGTTGAAAGATGTTGTTTCAATGCCGGAAACCTTTTTGATGACTTGAAAATTATTTTCATCTCTGATTATAAAATTTAAAGCTTAAAAAATAGTGTAGATCGAGTAGACCTATGAACACTTGAAAAATTTGAAAATTGACTGTTCGAAAATACATTACAAGATGCATTATTTCGAAGACTTGAAATTATTCTCATGTCTACATCTTGGGTACCGAAACTTCTTTTACTGAACTTTTGAGGCGCGCCTTAACTTGATTGTTTCGGACCTCGCCCTTATATAAACTGTTTCCTTTAATTATTATAAAAAAATATAAAAAATCCTATTATAGTTTTATAGAGTTGAACATAACAAAATCATTGCGATGCCTTTTCCAAATCATGAGAATTCTAAACTTATAGAATATATATATATATATATATATAGAGAGAGAGAGAGCCTAATGTTCTTTGTTAATTCTATCACTTGACTTCTGTTTTGTTATTATTTAAACCTTAGGATTTGCAGACAAGAGCATGAAAAAAAGGTATATACCGGGTGGATGAGAAGCGAGAGAGATGCATTAGTATTTTTTAATGGGCGTGGTTTCTATAAAGTTGCAACCTTAAACAATTCAATTAAGGCACATCTCCAAATTTAATATAACATGTAATTTTGGTGTACAAAATTCTTAGGATTATCTCAAAGACTATTTTATATCTAATTATAACATTCTAAACTCCAAAAAGGGTTAAAATCAAGTAGATTTATAAGTATATAAAAACCTTAAAAATGAACGGTCTAGATAATGTGTTGCAAGATGTATTATTTTTGGTACTCAATCTTTTTTTTATTATATATATTCGTACATCTCAATGTCGAGATGATCAATTAGAAGGTTTTTTTTTAACATTAAAATAACTATTTTCGATGGATTTTTTTACTGTAGTTCTACATATTAATATTGCAATCTTATAGGTGGCGTTTAATTGGTATTTCTCCATCTTTTGTGGCTATTCAAAGTCAGGGCAGAATAGAAGAAGGTGTGCAGTCGGGCAGTTTCTCATGTTTACCTCGACCTTTTCCTCCATGAAGGGTTGGGAATGAATAAGATCCCCTTAAAGAAGATCTAGGCCGTCCATTCTCCCATCTAGATATAAAAAGTGCCGCAAACATGTGAGAGGACTCGACGTATATGGATGTTGTTTTAGAAGGGATTGTATGTTCCAAGACTCTTTATATTTGGTATAAGAGGGTCCGGTTTGTATAGAGCTGAGGCTCTAAACAATCAAAATAAAACGCACCTTCAAATAGTGTCGAGAAATATGGTTTTATTACTGAAAATCTTTGTGATAGTCTTAAAATATACTTTTCAACTTTAATTAAAAAATTTGAAGCTTAAAAAACAGTGTAGATCGAGCATATCTATGAAAACTTGAAAATCGACGATCCAAAACTTGAAATCTATTTTTTTTCTCATGTCCATGCATCTTGATGTCGAGATGATCGGATATTTGGACATCAAAACAATCTCTTCTAGTGAAACTTTTGCGGTGGGCTCTAATTTAATTATTTAAAGCCTCAGCTCTATAGAAACCTTTTCCAAAAAGCAATAGGGGTAGTAATGGATCCTGACTTGACCTGGGACCCAACGTTCGGAGTCGACCTAGGTCCAGGTATGGGTCCAAGAATTGGACCTCATAGGTTGGGTCCGGGTCCAGGGCCATGTGAACCTAACTCGAATAGTATTATTATACAAATAATGTTTAATATTTTAATAATATTTAATTAATATTTATACAAATATAACAATATATTTTAATAAATATATTTTAGTTATGTATATATTTGAACACAATCAACATCACACTTCCAACCCCGCAATTTCATATTTAGTGAGATTGTGACATTCTCGTGCCAATAGTAAACGGTCGTATATCTCTTGTTTTAAGTGCATAGGTAAACTTAAAAAATAGTAAAATAAGATTTTTTACTAGAGATAGATCAACTACATGAGAATATCCTCTATTGTTTCCCTAAGATGCCCATTTCTTAAAGTGGCCTGGCAGTTTTTTTATGGATGAAGTTTTTATAAGGCCTAGGATTTATGAAAACAAAATAAAGCCTCACATCAAATCCTCGTTCAAAGAACACTTACGGCAATAAAAATCCCCATGATGGCTCTAAAATTGATTTTCGACATCGAAAATAAAATTTGAAACTAAAAAAATGATACAGATCTTGCGAATCATTGAACACTTATTTTTAGGGCGAAATAGATGGTCTAGATATTTTGTTACGATATATACTATTTTTAAAATTTGAAATCTTATTGTTGTTCTAAAACCATAATGTTTAAGATGAGATAATCAATATAAAGGTTTTCCAATACTTGAATTGCAATATTAAGTGAGTAGTGAGGTGAGGATTTACTTATTTTGATCTTGCGTAAGCCTTATAAAGCCATTTGCCTTTTTTATTAGTAGCTGTTAGCTTTTTAACAAAGTAGATTTAGTTGAGAATTAAATAATGTTAGTATTATGTCACTTTGTGTGTTGTACTTATCTCTGCCGCCTTTTATCGCCAATCACTTGCCACTTTGTCGGCAATGTGAAACAAAATAGTACAAGAATGGTATTAAAGAAGGGAATATGTGGTGATCCTACAGGGACCAAATTGTAGACATGGTCTCGGGAAAACACCTGATTACGGAGATTTTTATTACTTGAAATCTTTTGAATCATATTTGATTCACCTTGTGGTAAATCTCAATGAAAAATGAATGATTATGAACTTATGAGAAATTGGATTTTACATATTGTTGAATGATCAACCCCAATGTTCTTCTCTTCATATTGAAAGTGATTCATCATTAATTGCTAATGTTATTCATGAACGCTATCGGTCGGTCTCTGTAGAAGTTACATACGATTGCAGTGAATTATAAACAATACATTTTTAATCGTAGGTGATCCATCAACCACATTTTTTGTGGATTGAACATTGTGCCTGATATTCTTGCAAAATGGACCACATCTAGTTTACAAGCCATTGTTTGGCTTTCTCGTCCATTCAACTTTATTTCCTTTGCTTTCAACTTTATTTCCTTTGCTTTACGTCATGGTTTGTTGCAAGTGCCCTATTCCAAGGTTGTAAAGAAATAAGCCGTATTGTTTTCTTTTTTTAAAAGTATTAATGAAAAATGGGTAGGGGCCTTCTCCCGTACTGACTTACCCCAAAAAAAAAGAATGGACCGTCTGTATTCGATCTTGGAGTGAAAACCAGTTTGGAGATGCTTTTCCTTTATTGATATTGAAGATCCGTAAATATAATGGAATAGTTGTAAATGAGTAAAATATTAAAAGTAAATTGTTTCATACGGGTTATACCGCATTTCTACAATATGGAGTCCCAACGTATAAAGCATCGATCTTAAAGATGGATGCAAATAGGTGGTCCATCTAAAACAACTGAAACTAACCGTTCAAATGTTTTTTTAATAAAATTATTATTTCTAATTTTTAAATTTTATTTATTTTTATAGATTAATCATCTCTATGTTAAAAACTATATGTTTTTTAAAAATTAAGATCAAATTTTATTTCAAAAATAAATTTATTAACGCGGCCCGCATGCTAACCACGTCCAATTTTGAATGATTCATCTCTTAAAAATATTGACCCAGTTAACCTTTACTCTTTTTTTTCACTCTTTTGAAGGTAAGTTAGTTAGCTTTTGAACTGGAAATTGCATTCATTAGAAAAGCTTGGAAGGTTTTATTTGCTTAATCAGTGCCCAGATGAATGCCTTCAAAAGTTAATCAACCTATAATATATTTTCGTTCCCCTACACTCTTTTTTACTTTCCTCATGTCTTCATTGTTGCATCAGTTTTGTATTCAATTCTATGGTATAACCTAATATCGATCGTACTTCTTTCGAAACAACGACACAGTTTTTCAGGTTTCATGACGAGTTCGAGGGCTAGTTCTGCTACGGGTACAAAACAAGCGAATTCGGCTCATCGAGTCAAGGGCAGAGAACCTGCAACAATCACCCTACTGTCTTTTGATGTTGTGGATCCTAGAAAAAGGATGTCTAATGTTATGGATAATAACACAATTACAGGGGATCTAATTAAGATTTTGGCTTAAGATTTCTGAGGTCTCTTGGAGGTCAATCTCTTATGCCAATGAGCTTCTTTTCAGAATCAGCGAACTAGATTAGATCAGCCAGGAAGCAAGAATTGTCATATTTAGGGAAGAGAGTTTGTGACTTTTGAGATCTATTCTTGTGATTTATCTTTGTGACAATATGCTGTGTTCATTAAGTGGATGCTAAGAATTTCAGTAATGTTGTTTTTCTCCAAAGTGGCTATCAAAGTTTCTTGAATCCTTTTGTCTTGCAATTTATTAAGATAATTTTTCTTACATGAAACATTCAAAAAAAGAAAAGAAAAGAAAGACGATAAATCCTTTTGAAGGAAACCTGGTTAATTTAGAAATTGTCACAAAAACGCTCAAAAACTTAATTGGGTCTAAAAAAATAACAATAATAAATTTTCCTTCTGCCATGACACTAAAAAATGAATATTAACTCCACACAATTGTCTGGTCAGGTTCTGCTTTGAATCTTGCAAGATAGGGGTTGATCCAAAATGTTTACAACCTTAAAGTGAAAAAACAAATAGTATATTCATACTAACGTGTAACGTATTAACCTCAAATAATTGGGATAAGATTCGGATGATGATGACAATAACACTAGCTTGCACCCTCTTATGCATAGCATGGAGTTTGCGGCATTTACGCATGTAGCAGCAGTTTGTTGAGCAATGATGAACTAGTTGTACCTCAATGAACCGGGCTTGTGCAAGTACATGGCAATAGTTTTGTGATCGGTACAATAATTGTTTGCGTACCTTTTTTTTTTTTATTCTTTGACAAATAGGGTTTCTTCTATGATAATCAGCGATTTAAAATCCGATAATTTCTAATTCGGATCGTGGGAATCAATCGGGACTCATGAAATGGTATGGGTCCTAACTGGATCCCGTGAAATATTTATCTAATATTTTTTTAGATTTCACTCCCATCCATAAACCCACATTTTAATTTTAATGTTTTATTTATTTTATAAATATTTTCTAGGTCACTGATCCAAACTCGATTTCGACCGGATCTTACATTACATAGATTTGTAGAGAAGAGACCCGGTCCACATTCGTGTTTTGAAACACTATTACATTCAATAGTAGAGCGTTCAACAGGCCATACCTTCAACCAGAGTCTTGGCAAATTCCTCCACCGCTCTAAGCGAAGAGCCACCATCCTCCGCCGCCGTTCTCAATGCCTCACTCGCCGTGGCCGCTCGCTTCCTCAGCTCCTCTCCCTTCTTCCCACCCATCACCTCTCCAACCACTCGTGCCACCACCTCCCTCCCCACTCCGGCCTCTTGCCCTCGGGTAAGCTCCAGGCCCACCCCCAGCTCCTCCTCCAGCTCCTTCGAGATGTAAAACTGATCGGCCCCCATGGGCCATCCGATGATTGGGACCCCTTGGCGCAGGCTCTCGAGCACCGAGTGCCACCCGCAGTGGTTCAGGAACGCTCCTGTCGCTGGGTGCGACAGGATGGTGTGCTGGGGCACCCACCCCCGCACCACGAGCCCCTGCTTGCGGCCCGAGACGCGCGCCTCAAACCCTTCTGGCAGCGACTCTGAGCTGAATTCCACAGCGCCGGCATTCTCTCGTGAGGGCGTCACCGCCCATATGAAGACGTGACCGCTGGCCTCGAGCCCCAGCGCCAGCTCCTTCATCTGCCACGCAGAAACCTTGTTATGCGCGCTAAAGCACACGAACAGCACGGCTCGTGGCTCATGGAGGTCTAGCCACTCGCTGCAACGCTCTGGAGTGATTCCAAAATCTCTGCCCCAGTGGGCCAAGGAGGGACGCCTCATAATTGGGCCCATTGCAAAAACAACCGACCCGACCGATGCGTCCCGCAGTTGCTGGATGCCCTTCGGCTCCAGCTCCTCTACTGTGTCGCAGATCATGATCTTCGATCGAAGGGAAGTTAGTACATTCTTTCTCACGAATGCTGAGAAAGGATCGGTACCATCCGCCGCTTTCAAGGCGGCTGTCAATTGGGAGCGTTGGAGCTTCAGGCCAGGCAAGCCGGGCAGCTCGAACTCGTTGGAGTCTGTCTTCCGGTGCGGCAAGTGATGCCACATTGTCCCTGCCGCCAGATCCCCGAATGCGCTGCTCTTCAAGAAGGTGACATGTTTCACACCGAGCTTCTCAGCCACGCCTATGGTCCAGCCAGTAAAGATGTCGCCGATGACGCAGACAGGGGACGGGCCTTCGGAGATGAGGCGCTCGAAGGCAGGCTGTAGGGACTCAGAGGCGTGGAAGACATGGAGGGTGAGGGCCGGAGGAACCGCATCGCTGCTCTCGACGCCGTCGGGCAGGCCATGGTCAGTGCTGCAAAAGGGGAGCTCCACTACGGTGATGGCAGCCGCAGTGGCAGTGTCGAGAATGGAGCGCATCATTTGGGCGTTCTTCGGGGTGCTGACCAGGGTGATGGCAAACGGAGTGCGGGCAGCAAGAAGCTCAGCTAGAGCGACGAAGTGGATGAGGTGACCCCGGGCTAGGAATGGCAGCATCACAATGCGTTTTGGCTCGCCGCAGCTCACGTCTCCTGTCGCATTTCCATGTCTTGCTTCCATGAGAGAGTAAATATTTTTTAACAGTAAGACTGAATAGAGAGAGAGAGAGAGAGAGCCCTCGTCACAAGTACTTCTTCACAGTTAAGACTGAAGAGAGCTTCTTCACAGATCAAAATAAGAAGGAAGACAAGAGAGAGTGAGATTCTTCTAATGCTTCTTTATAGATGAGACTGAATAATAAGAGAATAGAGCTTCTTCACACAGATAAGAATAAGACTATAAGAAAGAGATTATTCACAAATTAGACCGAAAAATAAGGGAGAGAGAGCTTCTTGAAGAGACAATAAGAGAGACGAGGACTAAGCCATAATAAGAGAGAGGTGGCAAAGGTGGGGTGTTAAGGCAATCTGGGAGCAGGTATTTATGTGCATTTCATGGTAGGAAGAAGGCATGAAGGTTATACCTCTCCACCATTCATTTGTTATGCACGCCCACGGTCAATCGGTAAGTTTATGTGGGACCAAAAACCTAAAGTTTGGGCACATGAAAAAGTTTATACAGTTTGGAGTAATTTATCGAGGAACATAAAAGAGTAATAATAATAATAATAATAATAAAATGAAATGGGTCGAGACTGTCTAAGGTCCCCATCCCCATACTAATCTTTTTTTTCTTTTTTTTTGGGGGAAAAAGAACTGTATAAGGATGGGGACCTCGGATCCCTCCAAAACTTATCTCTATGAAGATGGGGACCTCAAACCATGATTTTTTTTTGTGTTCATACGTAAATTACTCTTTTTCAACCTTACAATGTATAAATAAGGCGTACTTCGTGAAAAAAATGTTTCCATTTTGAAAAGATTTTATGATTTGATCATTTAGAGCTCAAGAATATTTTTTCGATGTTGGAGAGATTTTACCCTTGATCATTTCAAACTGCTCAAATACTTTCAAGCCGCTCAAATACTGCAATTATTTATTTTGTGTGTCGGGTGGTTGGAGTGTTGAACTTTCGAAAATAGAGTAAAATGAGTAAAAATAAAGAAGAACCTCTAAAATTTTGAACCTCATCATATAATGTCCAAACTACTAGAACTTGTGACTCTATACATAAATTTCCCCTTCCATCCGTGTATTGCTGATTCAGAGGTGCGGGTTGAGGTCCTCGGATTACTCATTCAAATGACTATATTATTTTAAAAATTAATGAAGGTGATGAAGTCTGCCAATTTATTAATAAAGTTGTTAATTTAATAAAATTTGTTAATTTAATAAAGAAAATCACCAGGGTACTACTGAAGCATTTTGTTTAAAAATACCCAAAATCAATTCAAAACCTCATATCAGTCGGGTGGATCCTTCACCCACAGACCTATATCGAATCATTGGATCGCATCCGAATCAGGTATGGATTGGTCCCAATTGTTTATCTAAAAACTATTAAAAATGTATGAAACCAAATAAAAATAGTTGTTTATGGAATGGGATTTAGAGGGGATCTAAAAATATATTAGTTAAGCTTTAAAAAAAAAGAAAAGAAGAAGTAGGGCAGTTTTAGGGAGAATGGAGCTCAGACCCATACTATTCTGAAATTGGTTTGGTCCCAACCGATATTCATCCACAATGAAAATCACCGGGTTTTAAAACACTGCCCAAAGTGCTCATATTTAGGATTTGAAATTATGAATAAATAAAAGTATTTTGGTAATTTGCCCAAAGTGCTCATATTTAGGATTTGAAATTATGAATAAATAAAAGTATTTTGGTAATTTGACTTGCAACATAAGTGAAGCAAATTTTTAAAAAGCCCCAACTTGTTTTGGATTTCCATACTAGAACAGGGGACTCCATAAAAATATCCATGTTTGGAGTTTAGAAAACATAATAATCAGAAATATTTTATCTTCTAGCTCCGGCTACTTAAGTCGAGCCAAATTATATAAATAGTGGCACATATTCCGAGCTCGATGCCCAAAACAAGATATTTTATGGAATTCTATTGTCCAAATTTAAACCTCGAATAAATAAGGGTATTTATATCATCCACTTAAATGAAATACAATTAGCAAAATACTCGAGGTAATTCAATGGGGAATACAAGCCCTACCCGTTTTTTCATGTAAATTAGGAATTAGTTTTTTTGAAAGTATTAGTGGGTTAGTTTGATAAAGAAAAATGGATTATGGTTAGCAGTTGAAGGTGGAGTGCTCCTATATATTAATAAATTTATAGATCTAACAGATCTGATTCTCATTAAAATTAATTAAGTTTATGATATATGACTTTTAAAATTTTTATGTGAATTTTTATAAATGTTCATGAATAACAGTGAATAGTAAGAGAGAGCAAGAGAGAAGGCTCTAAACAATCAAAGTAAAGCTCACCTTCAAATAATATCGAAAAATGTAGTTTCAATACTCAAAATCTTTCTAACAGCCTTAAAATATATTTCAACTTTAATTATAAAAATGAAAGCTTCAATAATAGTGTAGATCGAGTAGATCTATGAAAACTTAAAATATTGACAGTCAAACAATGTGTTATAAGATGTATTATTTCCAAAACTTGAAATCCATTCTTTTCTCATGACTATGCATCTGTCGAGATGATCGATTTAAAGATATTTGGGCATCAAAACAATAAATTTGACTGTTTAGAGCCTCGACTCTATATGAACCTTTTCCTTTATATACATTTGAAAGTTGGTGGACAACCTGCACCATTCATTCATCTCCAATATTACGCCCTCCCATCACATGGGTCCATAAATTTACGTGGGACGAAAATACCTAAGATTGGGGAACAGGATAAAGTTATACAGTTGTCAATCTTAAAAGTACTATAAGGTGTAATTAATAAATTGTGAAAAAACTGTTTTGTTGTTTATTTTATTTTATTGTTTTTACTATTTATCATTTCGATTTCGAAAATATTATTTCGATGTCGAAAATACTTTACAATTGATCACCTCGAACTGGTCAAATACTTTCAACCCAACTTTCGAGCATGGGTCTAAAATTTTGAACCTCACCATATAATGTCCAAAGTTATGTCCCCTTCTATCCGCGTATCGCTGATAAAGAGCTGTGGGCTGAGGTCCTTGGATTACCAAAGGATATAAGGAAATTATCATTCAAATGACTAAATTATTTTTTAAAAATAATGAAGGTGATGAAATCGGCCAATTTATTAATAAAGTAGTTAATTTAATAAACTAATCTCACTAGAGTAGTACTGAAGCATTTTGTTTAAGAATACACCCAAAATTAGTGATTCAAAACCTCGGATCAGTCGGGTGGATCTTTCACCCACATAGCATATTAGATCATTGGATCGTGATCCAAATCAGGTCTGGATTGGTCTGAATTACTTATCTAGAAAAATATTAAAAACATATGAAACCTAGTAAAAATTGAACTACTTATTTATGGGGTGGGATTTAAAGAAGCATAAGAAAGTATTAGATAATTTTTTTTTAAAAAAAATTGTGATTTATGTACAGATACTAAGTAAAATATGAAATGCTCCAATTATAAGAAAAAATTACAAAGAATGTTGGTCAACTCACTTTTTTTTTTTTTTTCAAAGTTAGCCCTTGGTCAACCCAAATTTTGAATTATTTTTTTTAGCTTTTGCGTCAGTAGGGGTGACTAACCTTCTTTGTAATTTCCGCTTATAAGCAGAGCATTTTGTATTTTATCTAAAATTTGAAGGTCTGTATGTAAATCACTCAAAAATAAAAATATAAGGCAGTTTTAGGGGAGAATGGACCCATACCATCATAGAATTAATTCGGCCCCGACCAATTTTCATCCATATTAAAAATCACCGGGTTTCAAAACGGTGCCCAAAGTGCCCATAATTAGAATTTGGAGTTATGAACAAATAAAAGTATTTCGGTAATCTGACCTGCAACATAAGTGAGGGTAATTTTTAAAATGGCACCCATTTGTCTTGGATTTCCATACTAGAACAAGGACTTTATCTTTTGGCTCCAGCCACTCAAGTGGAGCCAAATTATATAAATACTAGCACATATTCCAAGCTCCATGCTCAAAACAACATATTTTATGGAAAATTATTTTTCAAATTGAAAAGCTAGAATAAATAACGATATTTATATCGTCCGTTTAAATAAAATAAAAATACTAAAATACCCTTTTTGGTCATGACCCTAAATCAAAGCTGAGGCATCTTCAGGATTTTGTATGACAATATTTGAGATGGTAAGGGAGATGTTCTACATAAGGTATAACTTTATTGCTATTTCATTATTTCAGTGGATTTTCAAAAAAATAATAATAACCCAATAATATTCTCAAATATAAATCTAGCATCTAAGGTGGCACCTGGACATGGACAAGAGAGGCTATTATTTTGGGCCATTAATACTATTATATGATATGGGAGAAGTTATTCTTATTGCCTCGAGAGTAATGAGAAAGTACGGCGTAACATGGCTTATCTGCTATAAGATTGATGGGAAATGATCTTGTGAGATCCTGCCAATAATGGCATGGGACCCCTAGCTGTTGGATCAATCTCAAATCTTAATGCGAGATCGAGGTGTTGTCAGCGAAGGCTGTTGGATCAATCTCAAATCTCAATGTGAGATCGAGGTGTTGTCGGCAAACCTGTCAAGAAAATCAAAGGTGAAACTTCCTCCTCTCATTTCTTCTCTTCTCTCACTCTGCATATACTGGTATTGAATATCTCATCTCTCTCTCTAAAACCAAATATGGCATGAATCTTTGCAGTCTCTCGCTCTAAGAATCACATGCAGAAGAATAGAAAAGAAATTCAAGTACAAGAGCAATGAAAGGCTTTTTTTGTTTCTTAAATATATTTCCAATGTTGTTTTTTTCCAACCAGGACTCTGGCGCATGACTGATAAAAAGAATCTTCTCTCGCAAAAATTGAGTTTGATGGACATTTTCTAACTAAAACAATGCACATATTTTTATCAAGCAAGTACTTTCTCTCTGACTCCCGCTTTCTTCTCTCTTCTCTCGCATTGCCTCTTCTATTTTCTCTTATCTCCAATCTCATCTTCTATGGATTATCCAATTTCTATACCTCCATGTTTTGTCCAATTTTTATACTTCCGTGTTTTGTAGTTCGTCCCCAAATCTAGGTATCGAATTTGGGTCGTTCGGTCTATACTGTTTTATAAGTCAAGCAGCTCAACAAAATATTTTCCACAAGCACAAATATATTATTTCATACCGTAAATAAGTTAAAATATTGCACAATGTATTTGTTGTAGACCTGTTATTTCAAAAAATATTAATGAATAACTATTATTGCAATAGTTTAATTATTTTCGATTTACATAACATCCATCTTCATCACTTTATATCACAACCAAAACTTC